GCCAGGAGTAAAATTCCCTCTCTTGTAGCAGCGAATGAGCCTCGAAAGCAAGGAGGGCGTGCCCGGACGAGTTATTCGGACCTGTGGGTACCATCCCAGAAATCGGTGGTGTCGGAGAATTCTAGCGCTACGATCTTCATTTATTCCTTTGTTTCCAATCTGACTTGAATGATCCTCTCTGCTCACTGTGCAGTCACTGTACCGCATGGACAACATCAGCTGGACCCAACAGAGAGTCATATTTGTGATTCTCGAATGGAGGCCGTATTCGTGGCTTTAGAGGGGTAAGGTGGCGGTTGTGGAAGTTGGAGGGATAGTGTTCATTGGCGGTGAGATTTTTCGTGATTGGAGAAAATATTGCAAATTTCGAAAAATACTAAAACGTACGGTGATCACGTGCGAGTTCATGGCGCATTTCACGGCAGGAGAGTTTATTGCAAAATCAGTCAACATTCAACTGTTCAGGCGCACAAATATTGCTTTAGAGGATGTTTTCAAACCGAACCTGAGTAACTGAAGGAATAACTACTAGAGCAAACTGACTTCTAAAGGCTCAGAAGAAAGCTGAGAAAAAAGACCTGTGCGGGGGGGGGACTATTCAAGGGGTGTGGTTCATCAGGTTGTTCGTTGCGGGAATCTCGGGTCCACTGATGATTCGCTGCGGGAACCTCGGGTCCACTGATGATCAGCGGTGGACCTGAGGTTCCCGCAGCGGAAAATGTTTCGCGCTGCGAAACGCGAAAAAGTCGCTTTCTGTCCTAGTGAACCACACCCCTATTCAAGGATTCAGCACCCTCTTTGAACCGAACACCTTGTGATATATCATGGTGCTCACCTTTTCCACAAAATTAGACCCAAAGAAAGTTGTACCCATTTCAATATTGAAAACTCGCGTTTTTAGGAGAACAGGAGCATAGCTTGAGAAACTCATGGAGAAAAAACGGATCAAGCTTTTTTTGACCTGATAAGTTCAAAATTAAGTTTGCGCAATCTCTGAAAAGCTCTGATTTTTGGAGTTTTAACA